GGGTAGCAGGCCTGGCCACATTAGAGACAAAGAAATTTCCTGGAACTGGAGTGTATGATTATATGGAAGTAGACATCCTTATAAGTTCAATAATAGCAAACGAGTCATGGGGCGAATCATGCTTATGACGTCCTGTAACGTAGTCATGCAAAATTTAAGGACCATGAGGAACTTATTAGGAACCCTTAGGTTCAATATAGGACGCTTACCACCATCTTTCTTATCAAGTAGGAAATAACAAGAATAAAAACCAGTTTTGATCTCATGGAACAGAACATATTCAATGGCCCCTTTATTCAAAAGATGGAAAACCTCTTTCAACTCTGGGGCAGCATAGATGGGGAGGAATCAGGGGGACAACCAACTGGTGGCACACAGAACTGAAGGACATATGCTTGCCAAACGATGCTAAGAACCCATGTGTCAGAGGTAACTGACTCCCAAACTGGAAGATAATATGATGAACGAGGTAGAGACTGGGGAGATAGTCAGGATTGAGGCTTATCCTTGCCAAAGACCTCCCAAGTGGAAGCAGGACCCTGCCTGGAGCAGGGGCAGCCTTGTTGCTTCTTGCCCTGAGGGTACTGAAATGAAGGGTGCAGGAAGAATCAGTCAGATGTCTGGTACCGATAGAATCATGATGACTGCGAATGGCCTGTTTCTCAGAAAGTGGTGAGGTTTGTGAATCTGGGTGGGTGGACCAGTGATGCCAAGGGACCTTCAGTGATCTTCTTTTGCATATGGTGTAGAACATCATCTGTCTGGGAGCTGAACAAATTCCTTCCTTCAAAGAGGAGATCCTCTATTCTCTCTCTAGTCTCATTGGGAAGAGTGGTACAGAAGAACTAGGAGTGGAGCCACAGGGCTATGGTGGAAGCCATGGATCTACTGCATGAGTCCATGATATGTTGTGTGGCATTTAGCTGCTGTTTTCCCAACTTGAAGCCCCTCCACCTGTAGGACCTTGGCCACATCTTTGTGTTCCTCTGGAAGTGAATCAATGAAGGTAGCCATTCTTTCCAACAGAAACATTTGGTAGTGCCCCGTAATGGCATTAAAGTTTGTCATGCGTAGAGTTAGGGCTGATGATGTATAGATCTTCCTGCCAAGGTCATCAAGCTTACGTCCTTCCCAGTCAAATGGTGAGGAGTGAGGCCTGGAGTGTTGCTTGGCTGGGATGACCTCTGGCACAATGGAGTTGGCAGCAGGGTGGGCAAAAAGGAAATCACAGTCCTTCCCTCAAACTTTGTACATGTGATCGATTTTCTTGTCAGTGGGGGATACTGATGGTGGACTGGTCCAGATAGATTTGGATATGTTCAGTAATCCCTGTAGCATCAGGAAAGCAATTAAGCCTGTGTTAGGTGGGTAAATGACCTTCAAAATGGGTTTGGACATAGTTCTGAGTAGATCACTTCAATATTAAGAGACTTCACCATTTGGATTAGTTATTCGGAGACAGATATCCTCCATTGGGAAAACAAGTGATGAGTCTATGACACATTCGCGAGGTGACGGTTCTGAGGAGACATTGGAATCATCTAAGGATGGGCACTTTTCCTCAACCAGTTCTGAGGAACTCGGATCCATAGCAAACGGGGCTGATGGGGTAGATGGCATGGCCAGGAGGTCAATTCCACAGGTGGTAGCTGTTGTTTTTACCGCATAGGCCAGTACATGGGTGGCACATACTGGAACCATTGCAGAGGTGGAGGTTCCCAATACTGCCTGGCCAGAGAGTCTCCCAAAGATCCGTGATGCCATTTAGTGGTGGGAGCTTCAGCTTAAAGGGGAGAGTGGGGAGCAACCTCAATAACATCATAGACAAAGGAGGCAGCAACCATTTGTGAGTCAGAGAAGAGGTTGCCAGGTTGGGGGACAGATCTGCTCTTAGTTGTATAGAGGAGGCATGTTAAGTCTTATGCTTCAACTTCGTTTATTTTTCAGTGGTGGTTCTGACTCTGAGGCACTACATGCTTATGAGGATTTCTTTGTAGCTGATAGTGGACCCGGTTCTGATACAGATTCTGATGGTGCTGAACCCCGGGGGGGGATACAGGCCCAGTGGTCCAGTTCCAACTCCAAAGGGGTCTGATCTTTGCTCAAAGCTGCTAAAGCCTTCTCCCAAAGGGCGGCTTTCAGCCTGGAAACCCAGTCCAAGCCAGCCTTTGGAGTGAACTGCTTGCAAACAGAGCAGGCAGAGACATTGTGGGCCTCACCCAAGCATAGGAGACATAAGAACATAAGAACATAAGGAGTCATTTTTAGGCCATATTTGATGTACTTTAAAGGGAGCCATACCTCAGTGATAAAGTCCTCCTTCCAATTCCCCTTTCTGTAGGAATGTTGCAGAGTGAAGAGAAGAGGAGTAAATACAGGTAGGGAAATAACTAGAGAAAAATCTGCAAGGATCAGAACAGAGTGGAGACATCCAATCTCTTTTTTAAAAAAGATTTTTTATTGCATTTTCTAAACTAAACCTCTATGGGGTCGGGGGAAGGGAACAACCTAAAACTACGAGTAATGAGAGATCATGAATACATATTTTCAAATTAGTCGATGTTTCCCTAATATCAACACGGTAATACATGAGAGTTCTTGCAAAAAATTGTAGAGAATAAAGCGAGCATTCAAAAACAGATTTGACTAAAGTATATGCTTCTTAGCTTAAAGTTATTGGTTAATAATAGGTATCAGACAGTCAGAGTTACATTATTATACTTATTTTCTTCCTTTACGTTTCTGTTCAAACTCCCTTTTATTTTTAGGAGGCTTAGGAGCCATAGCCCCTAATTCTGCTTCAGAGTCTAAGGATTCAGCCGATGAAGAGCTCTTAGAACTTTCTTCATTTTCGTCTTCTTCTTTTTCTGCATCTTTATCGTCCTCCAATTTCTCAGGTCCATCTTTATCTTATTGTTGTTGCTCGAGAATGTTTTTTGCTTTAAGAACAGAGTCAACCTTTTCTTTCTTCCTGTTGAAGTTGAAAATAAGGCCTTCCGGTGTAATTCATCTATAAGGGGTGTTATGCGTTTGCAAAAACAATGCCAAGTCTCTGTATTGTCGTCTTCTTTTTCTGTTCTCAAATGGAATACTTGTTCTCCTTGAATTTTTGAAGATGACAAATATTTCCCCAGGAAGCTTATTTTTCTTTATATATTCTGGATATGTACGATTGTAACACTTCCATTGTTAAGCCTACCACAGAGGCCAGTTCCTTACTTAAAATCTCCTTCAGGTCCTCTCCTTTCTGCTCTGGAATGTTCTGAAATCTCAGGACATATGCTGATTTTTCCATTTGGAGAAGTAACAGTTGATGATTCTAAGATATTTTATCCTTTTCCACCACCTCCAATCTTTGTCCAAACTCCTTGGACTTAAGATCAACTTTCTTGAGTTTCTTGGTTATCTTCTCTGTTATTGCTGAAGTTTTTTTAAGATCCTTGTGCAACGTGTCAAATTTCTGGTTAAGCATGGTCATCTGGTCCACTAGAGGGCAAAAGGCTACAGCAATCATTTTGGGAAAGTCTATAGTTGCTTCTGATGTAGAAGCCGGAGACGATGTGCTGGCTGCTCCTGTAAGTTTCGCTTTCGCCACCATTTTTTCCAAGCGCTGTGTCATTGTTTATAGTTAGTAAGAAGTTTTGAAAGGTCTGAAAATATCTTTCTTGCTAATCCGCACCGCACTCCATCAGCATCCGCTCTTTTCAATCCGCCCCCACCTCCCGCTTTTAACTCAGTTCTTTGGATATGGGGATTTCCCCCCCTTTCCACTTATTTGGGGCTTTGGGGTGACTTTACTCCCAGCGTTCAGATGGCAGCTCGCTAAATGGTGAGTTTATTCCCATTCTTACTTGTGTTTGTTTAAGCATTAGGGAAGATCAGTCCTGGCGGATCTCTTGCACACTCGTCCGGTGTGCGCCTCTAGATGCCATTGCTGGCTCCATGCGATGAGGACCTATTGGGGCAAAGAGGAGCCTCAACCCCTCAGCATTCTGCCTTGGGAGAGGCACCTCTCGTGCCCCAGGCTGCAACCCTCCTACAAAGGGTCACGGGGGTCCAAGATCAACTTGGACCCCTCCCCATCGGCATGTTTGCAGGCCGCTCACATCAGAGCAACAATGGAGAGCACCCACTTACGAGTCGACAAAAGCCGGAAGTGGAGACATTCAATCTCCGTGGTGGTGAAGGAAGGACTGAGGGGAAAAGCGCTCACCCCACCCTGTTGTGTCAGCTGGGCAAGAAGGAGCCAGCCTGTGAGGGGAGGGGGCTGAGCGCTCCAAACATTCTACAGAGCTTTAGTGAGATATCTCTGTGGAGGCCTGTGCAAGCATGGTCCCCATGTGGGATTGCACAGAAATCACAAAGATGGAAAAGAACACTGAAACTGGAAAATAAGATCAAATCTCTGGTCAGCTGTAGTGCTTCAGAAGACATAAAAAGGACAAGAAAGTAATTCACGCACTAGATCATGGAAGCTCACCTAACTCTTTCAGTGAAATAGTTGCACCCTTTCCTAAAAAGCAAACATTGTTCATTAGCCATATAAATGTAAAAATCAGGGCCTACACTGGGATGTAGTTTTATACATTAGGATTAACTCTGTACTGCAGTGTACTAGATCTTCCATACTATTTTACAATAATTATCTTCTATTAATTTTGAATTTCTGGAAATATATCTGAAGCAAGCTGCGGAATAAAGTGTAATCGTGTGTGACTTGGGGGCATGGAGGTGGAGAAGGAACGTCTGGGGTTACAGTTTCCTTAAACTGTCCTTTCAATATGTCACTGTTTTCAGTCTTACACTGAAGAAGCATAAAAGTGTAAAAATATTCTGCTTGCAAGTACTCATGCATATTTTTATGAAGGGAAAAATGATTTTACCTCAGCGCTTCATTCAGTAATGCCTTCATATAACACAGTATGCATCAAGAAAAACTGTAAGCTGCTGTTTATGACACATAAATAAACCAAACAGCTACACTACATTAACACACTTACAGTTGCCTTTTTTTGTGCCAGATATTCTGCTTCCATTTTACTTAGGCGTGCAGTCGTATCCTCCAGCAATTCCTGGATATTTTCTGTGTGTTTCTTCTGAAGATCAAACTTTTCCTTTTCCATTTCGGCTACTGCATTATGGAGCTATATGCATACAGAAAAAGAAAAAAAATATCCAGCAGCTACCTCAGCTAAATATTATCTTAACATTTACCCATAACTACAGAAAAAGAGTCAGGGGAATGTCCCTTCCTATGCCTCAAGCAAGCTTCCAAATAAACCAGCCAATCTGTAAGGGCACAGGGACTACAAAGGATAGTACTTTGGCATAAATACAAAGCAACTCTCCACTTTCTTGGCCAGAAGATTAATATGAAGTCATCACTAAGTGGACCAATCCACAGTGAATATTCTATTAATATTCGCACAGTCAGCAAACACTCCCAATTCAGTAGTCATTGTTTTGGCATCAGTAGAGTGAACAAATCATAACTTATCTCTACAACATACTAAAGTCCTATTCGTCCCCAGATATTAAGGCAAATAATCAACCTTCTCTGAAAGAGAACTAACTGTTCAAATGTTACTGTTCTACTCTTGCATCTTTATGTTGCATGTTAAAATTCCATCCAGCTTTACTGTTAGCAGGCAGGTGTAGGCCATTAAAGGCATTTGTGTTAATCTGAGGTTTCTCTTCATTGCTTTTCATCATTACGTTACATTATATATATGCTTTTAATAAAAAGAGAAGACAGCACAGCCATAGTATCTCCTTGCTGTCTCATCCACATCATTCAGCAGTGCTTGTTGTTATACCTGGACAGGCATTCCACATGTGGCTCAGTATTTGAAGCCTGGGCTTGAAAGTAGATTTCAAATCCCAGGCAGCAAGCCCACCACCATTGTAGATGGAGAATTCAAAAGAGGGAGGGCAGACTAGGAGCAAAGAAATGCGCTTAAAAGCTTTATCCCAATCCCACAGCATCATTCTGAACTGCCACGTTAACGGTTTTATCTATATCTTTATCTATATCACATTTAAGAATGCTGCACTGTAATGTTTTAAAGATTTTACTTCAAAAACATAGGGGTGGTCTTCGTGATTTTAGGACCCAAGCAAATATCCAGGATGGGTATTTCGCTGCTTCCTTTCTCTTCTCTGTAAGGGACAAACTTGGCTGCACTGAGACAGAAAGCAATAGCTGAACCAGCCCCATCCAGCTTCCATCCCTGGCGACATCAAGTTGCATAGTCTGTGTCACCTAACCTATGGAGTTCACAGAGAGCAATTCTACTTCCCGTGCTCTTCAATCTCTTTGTAAAGCCCTTTGGACAAATCATTCATAGCTTTAGGTGGTTGTCATCAATACGCGGAAAATACCCAGCTCTATATGTTACCCAAGTAACAATATATATAATGCTATAGAGGTCCTAAATCGCTGTCTGGCTGTTGTGGCAAATTGGCTAAGAGTGAACAGACTGAGAATAAACCCTGAAAAGACAGACGTAATGCTGGTTGGGGAAGCAGAGATCTTGAAGGACACTAAGCTCCCCACTTTTGATGCAGTTCACCTGACCCTTGCTAACTTGGTTAAAAGCCTTGGGGCTATACTGGACCCAAAGTTATTACTGAAGAAATAAGTTAATGCAGCTGATCTGGCCACCTGAATCCATACCACAGTAACAATGAGGCTAGACTACTGTAATGCATTGAACATTGGTCTCCCCTCTCAAAATTAGTTTTGAAACTTCAGTTGGTGCAGAACATTATGGCTCAGATATTATGGGGAGCTAGATGGAGCATTACTCCCATTCTGCAGTCGCTCCACTGGCTGCACATCAACAACCGGGCTTCAGGCACTCCACTGGCTGCACATCAACAACCGGGCTAAGTCTGAGGTACTAGCTATCACACACAAATCCCTACATGGCCTCGGACCCTCACACCCATCAGACCACCTCTCCCCCTGTGTACCACCTGACAGCTTTGCTCATTTGAACAAGGTCTTCTGCAGATGCCAAACTGCAAATGGGCAAAAACAACAACTGCCCGTATATGTGCCTTCTCCATTGTGGATCCCACCTTACGGAATGGCCTTCCTGTGGAGGTCAGGAAGGCTTCCACTCTCCTGGCTTTCCACAAAAGGGCTTATTCAAAAGGGCTTTTCTACGCAGGCAACAGCGATGTAAACCTGAATTACTCAAAAGGGCTTTTCTACGCAGGCAACAGAGCTACACTGGACTAAATGATTCACAAAGTAACTTGGATAAATTATTAGGAACTGTAGTCTATACTATTATGTTCAGCTCACTGAAACCAGGATCCTACTACATAATTTTTGCATAATTCAGTGTGTCATGGTAATACTTGTGCTTTGCTTCAGTTCTGTTTTTAGATTTCTGATTGATTCCATAACCCTAATCATATTGTAGGCTTTATTTATTATTTAATTAGGTTTTTAGGCTGCCCTTCCTTGCAAGCAAGGCTCAGGGCAGCTTACAACAGGAAAGGACATACAATAAATAATTAAAAGTTAAAACCAAGAATATATAAAACATACCGCTCAAGTAGTTCATCAACATAATTTGGTTGATCAAAGATGGTGGGAAAAATTTCAAATTTCACAGGCCTCCCGGAAAGGGGCTGTGGAGACTGGAAGGTATGAGAGTGCAAGACTACATACTGTACTGTCACTGTCCTCAACCAAATGCCTGGTGGAACATCTCCGCTTTACACGTCCTGCAGAAAGGTAACAAATCTTGCAGGGCATGGATGTTCTCAAGCAGAGAGTTCCACCAGGTGGGGGCCAGGGCCAAAAAAGCCTTGACCCTGGTTGAGGACAGTTGGATCTCTCTCAGGCCGGGGATCACCGGGAAGTTCTTACTTCCTGAGTGTAATATTCTTCTTGGGGCATACTGAAAGAGGCAGTCTCCAAGGTAATTGGGTCCCTGGCCACTAAGGGCCTTAAAGGTCAAAAACAGCACCTTGAACCTGACCCAGTGCTCCACTGGAAGCCAGTGCAGCTCACACAGCGCAGGGTTGGATATGTGCCATCCAGGAATGCATAGAGTGAGTCACAGCAGTCTGTCCTGAAGGTGACTTTTGTATGGTAGGAAGCCAGTTACCTGACTTGGTGCAGTTGGAGAAATGCCAGCCTGGCAACCTTCGCAACCTGGACCTCCACTGATAAGGAGACATCCAGAGTCACACCCAGACTCCTGACAGTGTTAGGGGCACTGCATCAACAGACAGGACTCAGCAAGCCAACCGTGACTCCCCCAAACCCAGCCACAGAAACTCTGTCTTACCAAGATTCAATTTCAACCAACTCTGCTTTAACCACCCTACCATGGACTCCAAACCCTCGACTAAATTCACAGGAACAGTGCCTGGTCAGCCACCCATCAGCAGAAATAGTTGGGTGTCATCAGCGTACTGACACCCCAGCCGGAAGCTCTGCGCCAGCTGGCAAGGGAGCGCATATAGATGTTAAATAACAGGGAGAGAAGTGCTGAATGTCCTATCCTGTCAATTATGTAGACTCACTCTATGTAATCTGTCTTGAGTCCAAGTGAGAAAGTAGACTATAACAATATTTTAAAAAATAAAATAAAAAATGTACAAGCAAGGGCAGTGGCCAGCAGCAGTCATTGGTCTGGGTAGGGGCCAATGCAAGGGCAGGGATCGGGCAGCCAATACTGAGCCAACTTTCAGCTTCCACTCTGTCTCTTGCTACTTGGTGCTGCAGCAGTGCAGCAGTGGCAAGGACAGTGGCTAAGCAGTGGCACTTTGGGGGTCCCAGTATGTCCCCCCAACACAGTGACTGTCCTAGCTGCACAAGACCATCCCTGCACAAGCATGCAAGAGTTATCAATCACAGACTTCATGAATAATGGCATTCCTTCTTCCCTCTGGAGCACAGTGGACTCTCAGGAACACCTTAACAGACAAAATATGAGTCTGCAGTGGAAGAGGGGAAATTGGCAGAAGTCATCACAGCCTTTTCTGCAAACAGAAATGCTGTTCCATTGGAAAAACTTCATAGCTGAACACGTATCACTGTTTTAAGCAACTTATTATCCAAAATTCAACGAATAAATTCTTAACCATGCCCTTGGTTTACAAGATGCTTTTATGTTTTAGAAGTCCGTGTACCATTTATATAGAAAATTGATTTTAAAATGAAACAAAAATAATTCAGGAGGATACATAACATGCATGTTTGCATTATTTGAATTGTAACCATCTGAAAGAGCAAAATTAGAAGTAGAAATATTAAAAAGAACATTCAAAAACATAACCAAATCAAGATTAAAATATGAATTTGAGCATGGTACAATACATATTTAATCTTAACAACAGTATTATTAATTGCATATCAAAATAAGATCTAGGTACTAATATATCCTATATATGCAATGAAAACCAAGAAATATCTGTTACCCTTTTCTCCCACTCATTGTTCAGTGATTCTGTACTTTGCTCGCATAACTTTTTTAGCTCCACAATCTGTTTTTCCTTGGCTTCTCTAATGACTTGTGATTCACGGACAAGTGTCTGAACTATCGGAAAACACAAACAAACAAGAAAAAATGATACTGAGATTACCTTAGGCTGATTTCATCTGGCAAAACATATCATCAAATGAGTGTTTCAGCTGACCTCACTTTATTTAGAAGAATTATTTTAATGGGCAAAAATTATCTCAGAGAAGCAGAATGTTAATCATCTTCCTTTTATGTTACCCTTCAAACTATTTACAGCTTATTTCTCCCTGTAAGTGTGAAAATGTAACACAAGTATTTTGAATACAGTGGTCAGGAGCCAAAGAACTTTAAGGCACAATGCCTTTTGAAGTTCCACTGCATTTCAAAAGCACTTTGTCATCTCACATTGAATGCTGCTGTTCAAGTGGCAGAATTCCAAAACCAATTAGATGCATTACTATCTGTGCAGTGCTTAGGACCTTGGCCAAATACCTCTAGAAGATCAGAAGAGTTCTACTGGATCAAACTACTGGTCCAGCATCCTGTCTCACACAATGGCCAGCAACAAGGCATAGAAGCTAAGACCTTCCCCTAATGTTGCCTCCTGACACAGGTATTCAGAGGATTACTGCTTCTGAATGCGGAGGTTCCCTTTAGTCACTATGGCTAACCACTGATAGACCTATCATCCACAAATCTGTCTTATCCCTTTTAAAGCAGTCTGTGCCTGTGGACATCACTATATCATCTGGCAGCAAAGTTCACATTTTAGTAACTATATTTGGCTTTTTGGTAGTTCATTGCTCAATGATCTCTACTACAATACTGAGAAAGTACGTTTTGGGCTCTTTTCAGTCCTACTGGAGTTCTTGATAAAATTACTGCATCATCTGCATATAATAGCACCAAGACTTGATGGTCCAGTAACTTAGGAGGATGGAAATCTAGATCACTTAAATAACTAACCGTGTTATTGATATAAAAATAAAGAGTGATGGAGCCAGAATGTAACCTTGTTTAACTCCCTTTAAAGTGATAATTGAGCTTGTAAGATGCCCATTTCTATTACATCTAACTTTAAGGGTGGTATTAGAATGTAAAATCTTTTTAACTTTTGAGTATATGAATTGTTATGTTTTGTGCTGGTCAAGGACTGTTTTAATAAACATTGACTGAACTTGTATAAAGAGGTATTTCCTTTTTGTTCATCCTGAATCTGCTGCATATCAACTTCACTGGATGCCCTTGTGTTCCAGTATTTTGGAGAAGGAGGGAAAAGTTCTGTGCTCACCCTCTCTGCATAATTTTATAAAAATCTGTCATGTCACCACTTAGTCATCTCTACTCTAAACTGAAAAGGCCTAGCTGTTCCTCATAGGAAAAGTGCTCCAGCACCTTAATCATGTTGGTTGCTCTTTTCTCTACTTTTTCCAGCTCTGCAATGCCCTTTTTGAGATACGGTGAGCAGAACTGCACACAGTATTCCAAATGAGGCAACACCATAGATCTATATAGGGGTTTTATAATATCAGCTGTTCCGTTTTTCAGTCCTTTTCTTAATAATGCCCTGCACAGAGTTTGACTTTTTCACTGCTACAATGCACTGGGTTGACATTTTCGTTGAGCTATCCACCATAACCCCAAGGTCTCTTTTCCATTCAGTCTCAGGAAGTTCAGACCTTTGTTAGCATAAAGTTGGGTTTCTTTCCCCTACATATATCAACTAATACGTACCTACACTGAACTCCATTTGTCACACTGTTGTCCTCCCACCCAATTTGTGAAGATCCTCCTGGAGTTCTTCACAGTTGGCCTTGATTTTCACCATCCTGAATAATTTTGTGTCATCTGCAAACATGGCCACTATGCTACTCACCCTAATTCCAGATAATTTATGAACAAATTAAATAGCACCTGCCCCAATACTAATCCTTGTAGAACCCCACTGCTTATTTCCCGCTATTGAGAGAAATGTCCATTTATTTCTATTCTCTGCTCCTTTTTGTTCAACCAATTTTTAATCCATAAAAAACCAGTCCTATGATTCTAGAAATATTTTTACTTACTATGCATCTATGACACCCAAAAGGGTTACAGCCTATTTATTTAAATTTAATTACAGACTTTTTTGTGAGATAGTGGAAACCAAATTGAGTTCCTAATACCAGTAAATGGGCGCCTAAAATTCAGGATGCATATATTCTGATTAAACTCTCACTATTTTAAAAAAGGACCAGTGTACACAACAACTTGAAACTACATATACATACATAATTGTTAATATTTAATCCAATATTTAAATTTTAATAATTGTAAGATGAATCTATTTTGATATTTAATAATTAGATGGCTTTGTAATTATGTTAGAACATAGGATATTACTTTGCTATGGTTTCTTTTACCCTCTTCATTCATTCTGTTGTTCTAACCTCTTTATATTGTTCTTTGAAATGCAATTGTTACTGCACTCATTCACATTTATAAAGATGAATGCCCACAAGGACCAAAGCAGTGAAGTAAAGAAAGCAGTGGGATATAGAAGCAGGTGTAAAGACACTTCCTTCCAGATAGACGGTGCAAAGGAACTCCAAGCAGTGGTTTTGACAAGAATGTCAGCAGCCATTTTCTACTTCCTTTTTAAACAGGCTGAGTCTGGAGCTGAAGAGAGCAGGAAAGGCCAAAGTGTCAAATCACCCACACTGGCTATTCCAAGATAGGGCCAGGTAAAGGAGCAATTCCTTATCAAGAGTTGAAAGTGTACCTCCAATGTCTATTTGGATTGAACATCAGACCACTGAGATTAAATGTTTAGTGCTGCATCACCTTTTTTTTCAAGTTTTCGAATGGTCCCTTCAGCTTCATTCTGTTTTGTTTTGTAAAGAGCCTTCAGTACTTCAATTTCATTATTCTTTCGTTCCAAAATCTGTAGGAAAAAATAATGAGTGGTTAGTAAAATGGTAACATTAAATTAATATGAGAGATAGCAAAGAATATAGCCCAGTATAAGCAGAAACTGTGGTGAAAATGTTGTATTTAAAGAAGGCATCATGAAGTATGCAGATCTCTCACACATAGTAAGCTTATGTGACTAGTGAGCTTATGTAGCGGGCTGGGCCTCAGAGTTCCCAGGACTGATAGTTCTGGGAGACTTCAGAGTCCATGCCGATGCCTCTTCGCAGGTGTCAGACCTGGTGTCATCCATGGAAGCACATGGACACCCCCAGATTGTATCAGGTTCCATATACCAAGCAGGTCACATACTGGATTTAATCTTTGGCATGGGGATAGATAGGTATATATCTGAGTGCCATTGATAAGAGTTCCATGGTCAGATCATTTTGCCTTGAAGGCCCGGTTGGGTGTCCCAGACCCTTTTTTAAAAATATGGCATGATGATAAATACTCAGGAGAAAATCAAGTCTAGGCAAGATATCAAAGAT